CGCCTTGCTCCTGTGTCACCAGGAGCTGTTACTGAGCACTGTTGTCCTTTGCCGTAGGCAGGTGCCTGTCACCTGGAAATGGTATTTCAGGAGCTGCTGTGGAAGATTTGAGAGCCAGAGGTCACGGGAGGCAGGGGCGCATGAGCGAGCACAGCAGAACCTGTTTAGTCACAGCCTAATTATCACTAGAGGGAGCTGATGGAGTTCTTGGGACTCAGCATCTTCTGAGCACTGGCAGAAAGTCCCGTGGGCAGGACCTGACCCCAGAGGATGCTGTGTGAGGGAATGCTGCTCTGGAATGAACACATCTCTAGTTCTGCACCTTTAACTTCTGTGTTTTGATGCACGAGTGACACGGCTACTTTTAGCTGCAGTTATAGTACAAAGGAAAACTCCTAATTCAGGAATTTAGTCTTTCCCCACCCTCCAAGCCAGTTGCAGTTCAGTAGAATGGCACCACATCTTTGAGTCTGAAGGACCCTGTGAAAGGAGCAGCCGCAGTAAAGCACTGTATCTAGTACAGTCACCATGTGGCAAACAGGTCTTTTACAGATTTACACACAATAGTCTCAGTTGCGTTGTTCCAGTATGTTACCTTAAAAAGGGACTAACAATTAAGTAACTCATAATCAGCATTAAATGGTATTTTCTTTTGCTTTTCTCTGTTAAATGTTGCTCAAGTGAAAAGGGATCTTCTGTGATCTGATTTATTCTTTAACCATAGTTTTTAATTGTGTGTATATTGAGTGTATAGTGGACTTCAGAGTGCTAACTTAAATGACGATAGGAAAAGGTTGATGGAAGGGTGGGACTGAAGTTTAGGAAATGATCTTTCAGGAGTCCTGTGGTCATGTCTGATTTGCTTTTCTGATTGTGATTCAGCTACTACCAGTACTGAAAGATAGGCAAGGACAGGCAGCATGCTGCAGTATCAGTCATGCTAACATGAAAGACACGTTCAGTTTAAACATTGCTTTGGATCCTTCTGCTACGGAATCAATACACAGACTGTTCTCAGCACTTGTGGGATTGTTCAGCAAGAATAATTTTAAGAATTTGACATGAACTTACTAATTGCTAATTCCAGAGACAAGACTACGTGAGCAATGCACGAAGCATATGCTAAAGAACCAAAATGTATAATGAATGTTTTGGTTTTCTGTTTTCTCCTCCCCCCCCTTTTTATTTTTTTGAGCCTGCAGATCTAAAATATGTGGTATGATAGGGGTGATCTTTTTTTTGGCTAGGTTAGAGCCTCACTATATGAGAAACAGTAAGGTGCTTGATGACTTACCACAAAAGCCAAAGACATAATCATGGTGTTTTTTGTTCCATGTTCTCAGCTGGCTGTCTTTTACTGGATGCTGGTTTGTGCGGGGTTGCTGCAGGGGGTGGAAAACACCAGTGGCACACAGCGAGTCTGAAGACTGTTCATCGTGCTGGGCTATGCAGAGTATGCTGAGCTAATGCCAATTTTCTAATCCATACAGCCATTAGAAACACACACTGCAGAGCAGAGGATGCTTATGATGAGGCAGTGATGGTAATGCCTCATGCTTGTTTAATTTTTGCCAGAATGTCACACTTTTAGGGATAGACTAGAAATAGAAAATGCAAACCTGTGTGTAAATAGTACACTACAAGGGAAACAGACTTTTGTTGGGTATTTTGCATGGCCAGGGTTTTGCCCACAGGCTGTGGCAGAAATAGAAATAGGATTTGTTTGTCCTATGTCCTACTTTTATCATCATAACACTGTTGTAAGAATTAATGAATGCAGGCTACAGCATGGTTTTTGTATGTCACCAGAAAACAGTTTTTGAAGTGGTTTATTTGATCATGGCATTGCAAGTCTACAGTCAGTAATAGTTGTTCTTAAGTAAGGTTTATGGGTTCTTCTTCAGAGGAAGGAATTTCTATGCACTCATTTAGTTGTAGCTCTGCCCTGATTGTGAGCTTTTGAGTCTCCAAACTGGTTGGTTAAATGTCAAAACTACTCTTGTTGCATCATTGCTGACTCCTTCTTAGGGCAGCATTATTATTAATAAATTAAATCTTCTCTGTACGTGTCAATGTGTGTTGTTGCATACAAGTGTGAGCGCTCACTCCAAGCTGACTTCTATGGTTCAGATCAGTTTTCTCTCTCAAAGTGATGGCAGAGATAGCAAGCAAGCACATGCATGTATGTGACAGCTGTGTAGGGAACAATTGCTCTCGTTGCTCATGGCAACAGATGGTTGCTCATACTCATTAAGTAGCTCATTAGTTCATCTGAGGAGCTGTGATGTAATTAATACAAGTGATCTAGAAACTTTCTTCTGTCTGTCGCCAGGAGACCATAGGCACCAAGGACTTCATGGGGAGCAGTTTCCTCTTGTGACTGTCCAGGTTGAGTTTGCCAACCAGCGAGCATTTGGGAGGTGGCAAGGACAGTCACAGCTACAGCATAGTGTTTTTGCAGATGATGGCTGGAAAACTGGGGCGATGCATCACTTGGACATGGAGAAATGGATGGGTCAAAGGGAGTCAGGGCTGCTCTAAGGTCACCAAGAGCTCTGTCTGCACAGCTGCCCATGAGCCTGCCCTTAGATTAGCCAGCAGGTGACTGCACGTTCTCAGTACTCTCCCAGCAGTTGTCTGAGCTAGTATTGGCCTCCATGAGCAGCCACCTACTAAACTGTAAAAGAACAGATGAGAATGGCTTACAAGGGAATACAAGTGGTAATTCATAACCTCTGTCAATACACATTGTGTTGCCCAGTCTTTCCAAATGCATCAGTGCAGCCCATGTTGTTATGGCTGTGTCTCACCTTCAGATGCCATGTAGTTACCACACCCTGCTAGTGCTTTCACAAGAAGCACTTCCCTCCATTAATCTTTTATGGATGGTGGGTGGGACCAGAAGTTCTCCAAGAAAAGTTAAATATTGAGCCTTTCTTGTAGAAGCTGTAGCATAGGGTGTCCAAATGGCGGTGGTATTAGTGACGTCCCCTTGATTCACATCTGACCAGGTTTTATAATGTAAAAAAATTGTATTTGCTTCAAAGCTTCATATTTGTTTCTCTCTTTACATTGTTTTCAAGGCAGTTGGAAAACATGTCGTGTGTCTGTTTCAGCTGTGTCTTTTGACTGCTGTTGTGTTTTTTAGAAGACTGTGGCCAGGGGTGGCTATAAGGTAAAGCAGTAGGACTGACCATATGGGGGGTTAGAAGAAACTATTGGGAACAAGCATGTTACGTTTTTCAGTAGATTGACATCTTTCTTTCCATTTTTTTGGCATCTTTAAGTCAGGAGCTTAGTTATATTTGCTTGGAAAACCCTGATGCAGATGTTTTATCCTTTGTCTAGTTATAAGGAATAAGAAATAATACTGAGGTGGGGGTTTTGCTTTATAGAGGGACTGCTAGATCCTTCTGTGCAAAAATAGCCTTGGTATTAGATGCCTCAGTAATTGGACAAGGCATCTAATTTTAGCCACTTCTCTGCATGAAGAGTTAGTGTCCTGCCCTATGCAGCGCTGTTCTGCTGACAGACTCTAACCTGCAGAGTTGATGACTTGGGGACACAAGCCAGGTGCTGTAATTGTTTATGAACCATCTTGTTCTGCCAGGGGAGGATATGGAAATCTTTGGCAATGCTCCTACCTGCTGGACCTTAGAGTGTGCCATCAAAATTGCTTCAGCTGCCCCTTTGATGGTCTTGTCCTTCCTGTACCACACTGCTATAGGTTCTTCTAAGCCAGAGATGAGGGCTGGACCCTAAACTTAGACCTAGGGTCTAGACTTTCGTTGTATTTAATAGCACTGGGTGACTGGATGTTAATACGTGTTCTTTGTCTGTGGTAGGCATCAGAGCTACAGAAATCATCCTGATAGAGAGAGAAACAGCAGAGTTTCCCATGGGCCATGGGGAAGCACATGTGAGGGAGTACGCAATTATCTCACCTCTCCAAGTGCAAACGCTGTGGTTCTTGTAGCAAAGATTGAAAACCCAATTCTGGTTTTGTTTGCACTACTGTAAACTCAGATGGTGCTGGAGCATACCACAGGCTGCCGTTTTGGGCCCTGCTCTTTCTCAGGTCTGTGAGTACATTTCATAGTTTAAAACCCAATATGCCCATGATGCATTCCAAAAATCCACTGCTGCTCAACCTGCCGAGCAGTAAAATTAGGATTTATGAAGCAAAAAGGCCCACAAAGTAAAAAAGCTCAAGATTTTTGAAATCTGTGTGAACTGCTATTGTATTTTTGGAGGGGTGTTGGTTCTAACTGCAACCTGCAATGCCTCATATGCTTTCTTTTAAATATAGAATTGATTTTAAATATAGGAAGTTCTTGATTATATAAAATTTTGTTTCAATCAAATGTTTAGAAAACCATTATGTAAGTTACAAATAGAAGAGTTTTTAAATCTATGTCCTAGTGACCATCTGTATGGTGTGGTTGTTGAGGTGGGGGGAAGGGTATTGGGTGGTGGGTTCTGTGGAGGAGTGATTTGGGTTTTTTTAATGTAATACAATAAAAGGACTTTTCAGTTGAGCAGCCATCTCCTTCTGCATAGGAAACTTGCAGGATAATGTTTATGCTTGTTTAAGTAATCAGAGGTGAAGTGCACAATAATGGCCAGCCTGTGTTTCTACAATTGGAGGATATTTCTCATAATGAAGGAAGTCTCCAAGGTCAGCAGCTACAATACCCGGAGAAGTTACGTCACAAACATCACAAGGCCACAGCTGCGCCAGGCTATTCTCCTTCCCCCCACCCCCCTTCGCCTTTTCTTTTTGTGCACTCTCTTTCAGCTTAAGTGTTGCTTACATCTCTTGCAAGTAAGTATACCATGGATTTGATTTGAGCTTGTGTTTACTGTGTTATTTAACTGTTAAACACCTGCCACCCCACCCCCCCACCAAAAAAAAAAGAAACCTGAATGAATGCTTTTTAAAAAGTCTCACTATAGTCTCCTGATATCCTGTACATCCCCAAAATCAATGTCTCCTTCTGTTTTAGCAATGAGAATTATGTTGTACCGTGATGATGGTAGCAGCAGCAGCACCTCCTGGATCTAGTCTGGGCATTTTAGTTACCTCCTGTCATGTGATGGCAGTGGGCATGACAGCTCATGCCTCTGTGTTGATCTGTGTAAATATGAAGAAGAAAACTTTGGGCTATTTTAGCAAAATTGGCATGAGGCAAAAGATAAAAGGCTAGGTCTTAATTTTTATAGGTCACTGTATCTCCATTTACTATGCGAATTAATCTTACTGGTACATGTAGTTTTGGAACTCCTGATACAATCTGTTTCTCTCTTGTCACTTCTTTGTGTTTCTATACATGATATTTCAGTGTAAGGACTGTCTTTTATAATCCTGTTTTTTTAAAGTAGTATTTTTCACCAGTGGTTCAGCTGTTACCAAGCCCCTTACCAAATGGCTATTAATCTAAATTCAACTTGTCTTGTAATGGCAAGAACAAGGACACTCCTTAGAGTGTCCTTACCTGTTCATTTTATTTGTTTTCCAACCTCCTGATGAAGTTTGTTGTTGTTCCATCAACAGGACAGCAAAGTGAGAGATTGCTCTACATACTCCTCATTGCTGCAGACCTTACTCTGTTTATACCCAAAACTCTGACTCAGTGCTGTTGGTGTCAGCTCAGTCTTTCCCTGGCTTCAGGTTGTTCTGAATCAGCCTATAAACCTAAAATTCAAAGCTGCTTCTAACAAAGAAAACAAAACCTTTTTTTTTTTTTTTTTTCCTAACAGAACTTGTGTTGTGGTTTAAGCCTGTTGTTCACATCTAATCATGTTCACCAGTGATCATTCCAAGCATCATATATTAGAGTGAAATTACCTAGTATTCAATATTTCCTTGATTGCATTTGGTTCATCAACAATTACTGCATTTAAAAAGGGCGGTGGCGTTCTGTCATCCCTGCTCTCTCACTCTGCAATTGGGAACAGTGCTTAGGAAGGGTTGTAAACGTCATCCAGGTAGCTAAGGTAATCCCTGGTATTTAAGGAGGTGAGAATAAACACTGGCCTTCTTTTAGGTGTGAACAGGTATGAGATAGGTTGGATCAGACTACTCAAAAAATTTGTAAAGCCGAGGCCATGTGTTTTGGAAGGTGTGCTAGATGTGTTGGTTATAAGTTGCTCATCCTTGCCCTGCTCTGCATCGTGGCCAACGTTTTACTTTATTTTCCCAATGGCGAAACAAGATTTGCTTCAGAGCATCACCTCAGCAGATATGTGGAGTGCCTTCATGGCATTCTAGGTGGAGGCTTTCTGGTAAGTAATGACCGAGTGGCTTCTTTCAAGTTTATTTTGGAGCTATTTGGAACTGCTCTTCCTTTACCAGTTGCGTTAATTTACTCTTCAAACATCTCATCAGCAGCCAACTTTGTAGTTGTATCAAAAAAAAATTAGCTACATTATCCCATAGGTATTATTAGTTACTCTTGGTTATCTTATCTGCAAGATTATGTCACTTTAAAGCTAAAAAAATCATAGGGTCTAGGTCACAGAATCCAGATGCAAGCCAAGCCTCTCAGCAGGTCACAGATTGCATAAAGGGTTAAATTTTATTTTTTTCATTATTATTATTGAACCATTGTCCTTTTGAATTTCCCTAACTAACTAGCATTTACTTACAATTCCTTAATTTCTGTTATCTGAGAGGCTGACATTTATTTCTCTGCCTTAGCTACTTATTGGACTTGGTGATCTAAGGGTTGGACTTGATGATGTTGGAGGTCTTTTCCAACCCAGCTGATTCTGTGATTCTGTTCAGAGGAATGGGGTAGCAGTTGTCAAAGCTTTGCATTTGAGTAGCGGCAGAGGATGAAGAACCAATGTGTTCATTATAGAATATCGTTAATCTGAAGCTATTATTTTCTACCTTTTCAGTTTTGTGGACCACATTGTAGCATATTTAACTCCCCTGACTCCAGCCTTCCTTTTTCATCGGCTTTTAAAAGATCTCAGAAAGAGGCTCCAAGTCCTTTTCAACCCTTAACATTCTGTGGTTCTATGATCTCAAGGTGTCTGCAAATCACAGGTTGAAAACAATTGTGCTCTGTGTAGTGAGGAGTTTACAGTGTGTTACAGCCCCGTTGGAACCTAGACTGGGATTTGCAAAGACTGGGCTTTACACAGAGAATAATACAAGTGAAATCAGTGGAACTGCTCCTGCAACCCACTTGTACAGCTTCTTCTGGACTTGCAGCACTGGGACTCAGCAATAGGTTTAAGTAAGGGCTGACAAGTATGTGTCTGTTCAAGTGGATAGTTCTTATTTTAGTTTCTTGTTAAATAAGTCTGTACAGTTTGCAGCTAACTTTATGCTTTCTTTATGATTTTCCAGAGTACTCCTGTGTGTAGATTCTTCATAAGTGGACTCTATTAAGTGCTGTTTGTGCTGGTGGGAGGATCCTCTTTCTAATCAACTCTGACTCTTCTTGATTTTATGCTAAACGTTCTGGAGTATGGATGATTTATGTTTCTTACTGATAGTTTCTGCTCTGTTACTTTGCGTTTCTGTCACTGGAAACTGGTTGTGAAAACTTGAAGAAAGCTAGATGTCTGTAATGAGATGTTTGCCTGAATTGGGCAAAATACTGCCAGACTTCCTACTCTAGTCAGACTGGTTTGTCACACAGGCAGTGATGACTGCTCTTAAGTAATTAGTGTATTGGCAGTAGCTGTTTTTTAAATAAATAATTGAAACATCTTGTAGGTTCATTTAGCAGGAAGTGAATACCTTCTTTTGCAAAGCATTTTATTTGCAGGATACAGCCTTTCATGTGAACAAGAACTTTTAAAGCTGAAATACTTTAAATGGATCAATACCTCAGCAGGCTCTTTTTGCACTGAAGTGCTGTGTATAAACACAGTGGCAGTAGAAATATACCTGTCCTGGGGTTGGGGATGTCAGTAGCAAGATGACTACTGTGTTAAATAGGAGTAAAGCTGAATCACCTGTACAGGCTGACCACCAAGAAGTAACATAAAGCAATGCAATGTGAGGACTGTGTTTTATCTGCCCTCTCAGTGCAACCAAAACGAGCAGTGTGGTGTGTTTGCTCCATACACAGGTTCTTATTCCAGCTGCAGTGTTCATTGGGCTGCACAGTGATGACTGCTGCGGGTGCTTTGGCCGTGAGGACTGTGGGAAGAGCTGTGTGGTAAGTGAACCTGTACACCCTGGTCCCAGGTAGTCCCAAACACAAGGTGATGGCTGTGATGAATACTCATGTTTGTCTGCTGTGCAGGTGCTGTCCTCAGTTCTGGCAGCCTTTGTTGGGATCCTTGGCTCTGGATACTGTATAATCATTTCAGCACTGGGCTTGTCTCAAGGACCGTATTGTTTTACCCACCTACAGAGAAACTGGATCTATCCTTTCACTGATTCCTCTGGAGGGTAAGTTGTCTGTTCTTGAGAATGTTATATCTTACCCCATGTACACATGGGCTTTATTCCAGTACCTTTCAGCAATATCCAGTAACCGTATATCAAGATTCATTTATAATTTTATACTTCTTGCTCACTAAGAACTAAACAAATGGCATCAGTTACCCACACTGCTATAATGTGAAACCAAAGCAATAGAAATATATATAATTATATTTATAGTATATATTATATACAATATGTATATATATATATATAATTAAATCTATCTATCATATACTGTTCATGTCCATGAACATCTCTAACAAAGTATAAAGTTGTAGGACTTTGAGGTATTTTCAAACTGTGAATAGTGGTTGTTATGAAATTTGTCATATGATTTGTATAAGAGTCTGTTTTGTCAGGCTTGCTTCTGAAGTTGCTTTATGTTAGCATGAAGTGGCACAATGGCTGACAGAGGTTAAGGAGTGTTTGGACGATACTGTCAGGCACATGGTGTGACTCTTGAGGATGGTCCTGTGCAAGGCCAGGAGTTGGACTCGACGATCCTTGTGGGTTCCTTCCAATGCAGCATGGAATAAGCCACTGTTTTTTCTCTTCCCGCTTGGAGTGAATATCCTTGATGCAGTTAAAACTAGGCATAAGTTGGTTCTAGTGTATGGTAAGCATCCACTCTGTTAATACGCTTTTAATTGCTGTGTACAGGTACTTGTTTGAGTATAATAAGTGGTCTGAATGTCAAGAACCTCAAAACATCGTGCAGTGGAACGTCACCCTCTTTTCCATCCTCCTTGTCTTGGGAGGAATAGAGTTCATTCTGTGCTTCATACAGATAATCAATGGCATTCTTGGAGGACTCTGTGGGTTTTGCCGCAGTCACGAGGAGGTAAGTCAGTCAGCTGTAGTTATAACCCTGCTTCTCAGATGAACATGAAACAGTATTATTACTGATGCTATTGTGGAGTCTTACTCAACAGTTACTTTTTATATATTCATAAGCAACAAGTTCCCCGTACAACTGGTTTTATAACCCTGCTGTGTTTAGCGTTTTCATGTAGTGTTTGGCCGCATCCTTTCAGCTGATTCCTCAGCTGTCACAGTGACATTAGTCTATATGGGAGCTAGGAGCTGGAAGGCTTTTGTCTGCCCAATGGCACATAAGATCATCAGCACTGCATAGGTGATATAACTGAGACACAGATCTCTTGGTAGTTGTGGTCTTTGCCTAAACCATGGTTGCACATTGTGGTGCTTGTTCTAATTATATTGCATTAGCCTTGTGTTTTGCCCACAGCAGCTCATAAACTACTGAGAATATGCTGCACGTAATGAAAACTGCAGCATCCTGGCCTTGCTTAGTAAAAGTAAGATAAGAGAAGGAATTAAATTTTACAGCTAATAAAATCTACAGACAGGTATGAAGGGTTTTTGAAGGTGGATTTTTTTGAGTGAGGAAGAGGAATTTCCTCCAAATTTCCTTAAAGCTTTGATAAACAGTTTGAGCATATTGCTAAAATCAGTATCATAGTGGTAGTGTTGGAATTGCCATGGCTTAACGTATGAACCGGATATAGTTAATATCACACGTTGTAGATAAGAACGTGTTTCACATTTTTAATTGACATAGTTGAGTGTTGGGACTTTTTCAAAGCTGTTACTGTCTTCTTCCTCCTGTCTTCCATGGTCTAACTGCAGTATAGAAGAGGCATGCTATGGTTGTCTAAATTTGGTCAGGTTAATTTTTTCATTTGTAGTTGGACACTATTACCATTCTTTCTATTAATATGTTAATATGTTTCTTTCTTTTTGTTCCCCCCGCAGACATATGTTTGCTAGAAACCTGACAATTCGTTGACGTCGGTGTGTGTCTATGTAATGTAATGCGTATTCTGTGGATTTTTTTTTTTTTAAACAAGCCATGCATACTGAAATACCCATTGTTGCCAAACTGTGCTGTTGCCATCAGTTTAACTGACTTGAGGCCAAGCCTTTGTTATTGGAGTCATGAGCAGGTTTTTCACTAACCTGCCTGTACTTAAAGTCAAAATGTATCCTGAATTTCTTCAGTTCATTTTATCTTAGTACAGGCAGTTGCCTGAGCATGTCTTTATTTATTTTTTTTTTTTCTTTCTACTGACACAACAGCTCTGTACTTTATCCTGCTTTCCCAATAAAGTTGCTCTTTCATTCTGATGTTGGAATGAACACAAACCAAATCTAGTCTGGCCTGGATATAAATGAATACTGGGTTTTGGGTATATACATGCACTTCACCTTTTTAGGATTTTTCTGAACTTCCCCTGTATTTCACAAATAAAGATTTGTATTAAAAATACCCATCAGGTGTCAATGATTCCTTCCCTGCCCGTGCTGAAACACTGCTTGCCTGGCCTTGGAGTAAAGGACAGCGGTGGCATGAGAATGTGGATATAATGCCGTCAGGTTATAACCTGCTTTTCCTCTCCAACAGGCTCTGCCGGAGTGGAACTGCTTTACTGCTTGGTTTGGATCATTTAGCTGAATCAACAAGTGTTCAACAACAGCTTTGTGACAGATACAGCTGCACATGTGGAATCCTGGTCCTGACTGGCAGTTCCCAAAAGGGTCCCCATGCAGCTGAACCTAGCTGTAAGTCCCCTCTGCCCTCCCAAGGGGGATCACCTTCCAACTGCTCCATTACAGGCCTGACACTATATGTGGGCCTGACTCTGTTTTTTACCTCACTTAGTAGACCCTCAGGCTTCACAGTGTTTGGGGAATAGAGTCCAAATTCCGGTCAGCAAAAACAGATTAATCTGAAATACCTGACTTTACCAGTAAGCAGCCTGGAGAAATTATTGTAAACTACTGTGCAGGAACCTCTGAGGTATAGCTTGTAGCATATTAGAGTGAATGTTTTATTACAAGTAAATCTGAATAATGGGCTGGCGACAGAATTGCTGGCAAGGTCAGTATCCTGCTGGTAGTGGCAGTTTTCAGGTGAAAAGCAAAATATGACGCGCCGTCTACTTCAGAGAAATGAGTTTCAGTTTTGGAATTTAGCTGTTAATGTTGTCTTTGAAAACAGGCAAGTTGATTTCTCTTTATGGGAGAAGAGGTCCCATGGGTCTCAGTGCATCCTTAGGCTATTTGTAACTAGGAGGATGGTCCTTAAAGGCAGCCAGAAACTTGAGAGGTATCTCAGGCTGTCCACACAGTCAAGTCTGCCCTGCACAAATGAGTATCTGAAAAAAAGAAATTAACTGTGAAAGCAAAATTGTACACACATATCCACAGCAGCAGAAGAACTCAAAGATGGGAAGAGTTTGTGTTCAGAATTGCAGGATACATGATTTTTGCAATAGCATTTATTCATACCTAAATACACAGAAGTAGTTGAGAGTCTTTAATGACATTTGTTTGTTGTGTTTATCCCTGTCTTGCCCTGCTATGGGAGGAAGGAAGGACAATATGTGCGTGCACATGTGTATACACACAAAATTCCTTGCAGCTGTGCCGTACGGTGTCTTTGTATGTGAAGAAGCACTATTTGAAAAAAATATCTGCAAGTTTAAATGGATGTGGAAGGAGAGAAGGGGAAAAGAGGATCCTCAATGGAGTCAGGTATAATGCCATGCAACTCAGAGATTTTTGCCTTTATGCTTGCATAATGGTTATTTGTCTTTCTGGTACACACAATTAATTAAAGAACTGAAACAAGTCTAGAAATTGCAATAGATAGAATGATTAGATTAGGACTTGAAACTTCAGCTCAGATCCAAGTAGGGCTAAAGCACAACATTACTACTAGTTATTTATGTTGTTATGTAAAAAAAGGCCGGTTGGATTCCTTTGTTGCCTGATGCCTAACACAGTGTTTTGGGAGATTTATCAACTACGTTGTGGAGAAACAGTTCATTCAGGTTGTACTCATTTCAGTTGGCAGTCACTTGTCCAGAGTAAACATGACTTTTCGGTAACAGTCTCGGCATCAACTCATAGGTAATGACAGTAACAGGAAAGCAGTGCCTGCAACACTTGGTAAGATATTTGAGGAACTGTCTTAAAGATTTGCTTAATTCTTAGTATAGAATGGTTGTTTCCTATTCTAGTGGTTTTGTGTGCGAGCAAAATAACCACACCATGATTTTGTGTTTGTAGATCTCAGTTTAAATGCAAACTACGTTGTGATGTGGACTGCTGTGCAGCAGAACGAATGCTGCTTCAGGCATTGTTTCCCAAGTTAGTTTCTTCTAATCAGAACAGCTTATAATAGAAGTAGCAGCAAATTTCATTATAAAATAAGCTGTTAACTACTAATTTTGGCCTCTGCTTTTAGGCAAAAATATTTCAGCCTATTACATAATCTTTGAGTTTTTAATAAAAGTTCAGTCTTGAAGATTTGATGTGTGTACTTTTACTGCAGCTGGTTTCTCTGCTATGTAAGGCACAGTGTCGATGACGGGAGTTCTGTCTTTGCCTGTGAGTCTGGAAAGGCAGGTTTGCTGCTACTTCTGATTGGAGGGAGACCTGAAAAAAAGTGTCCACAGTGATTAGAGGAAACATGAGGAAAATGTATTGTGACATCATTTCTTCTAAAATCAGCCTTCCTGCATTTGATAGAGCCCCATTTTTTTTCTTTTTTTTTTTTGTTCTCTGACTACAACTTTCCTACTGAGTAAAGCCTAAGCTGGTTCTAAAGTTACTTTTCTGATGACTCACAGGGGCGTAGACTGAAGGCTTGGGCCAAGCTGTGTTCAAACCACTCCAGCTCTGTGTTACTGGCATAGATATTTGGTTGCTCAGGGGTGAGGGAATGGTGACACGTGACAGTGGGGAAGCTGTGTGACTTTGGCTTTGCACAGTGCAAACAGCAGGCATTTTGAAAAAAAAAACAGGCAGACCTTTTGTCCTGCACAAGAAGTCACATGTACGTAGGTTAGGTCTGTAGCTGTGCAAGCTCAGCTCTAAGCACAGAATGAAACCATGGGAGAAATAGCAGGATTTGATTTGAAAAACAGTTGAGCCACATAATGCTGTGGGAAAGAGTAATTGATTAAAAGTGTGACAGTAAGTCTGCCTGGCAGTTTCTAACCAGCGTTATTTGGGCTTCTGTACTCTCTGCAAGATGGCCCTGACTCAGCCTGGTGTTTCTGCATGGCTGTCCCAAGTCAGGAACAAGTTCCCCCTTAGGGCTATGTTACTAAATCTGTAGTGTGAGGCAAAGTGTGGCTTTCTGTACAGAGACTGGATATTTATCATCTGACAGCCCCCTTCCCCCTGCTGCAGGGAGGCTGAACACCCTGCCTCTGTCACAAACTGTCTGTGTTACAGTTTGTATTCTGGGGTGGAGGAGGGCATTTTTGAGCAGTCACTAGGAAATGAGAGCTTTGAAGTTCCTTCCTGAGTCTGACTCCTAGACATATTTCATTTGGAAGATCACAAAGGAGGATCTTTGAGAAGGGAAATGGCTGCTTAAAGACATGTGCTTAGACTGGACAGTGAGTTTACATAGCGATATTTGTGTGTTGTTCAGCTAACTGTTAAGCGATTCTGTCCCTGGAATCGCACCTCGGTCACTGGTTCCTGTGAATATGAAATGACTGAATTAGGCTGGGGAGGTCAGAACACTTTTCATATTTAAAATCTTGCAATCTTTTGTTTGCTTAGAAGAGCAAGATTTCCAAAGTTCTTGAGAGATGGCTTTAGAGACGTGTGGAAGCTGTTTGAGTTGCCTGCTGATACCTCTTGCACTTTGGAGTATTGTTGTGAACATCCTCCTGTACTTCCCGAATGGGAAAGCTCTGCATGCAGCCAGTTACCAGCTCCCCAACTATGTGTGGTATTTTGAAGGGATCTGTTTCTCAGGTGTGATGGTAAGTGCCCATTCTATGGATTTTTAGTGAATTGTATTCTACTGCAAATAATATTGGGTTACTCTTCAGCAATGCAATTGTGCTTTTAAAGAAAATATGGATTACTTCGGCAAAATCCCTGTAGGCAAAAAACTCAGTCAGATTTAAAAAAATGTTAATATACTGAATGACAAGCTAGGCAAACTATTTAATGAAAGCTGTGTATACTATTTAATGTAAGTGATTTTGCAAGGTGGGTTTTTTTCTGCTGTCTTTTTGTTTATGCGTAATTTACGCTTGTATTATGGAGGCAGACGCTATGTTGATTTAGTCCTCTAGGAAAGTTGAATTAGAGCTCTTTTACCAAAACAGAATGAAACAAAACCTTCTCATAATTGCTCAGATGGTTTGAAGAGCTGTATGCAGTCCCATATTTAGAAGCCTGGATACAGTTCACGATGCATCAGGTGCCAGTGTTGTGAGTCTAAATACAGAGAATCGTCTCACTGTGATTGCCATAGTAGGATTTTCCCCATTACATTTGTAGTACGTTCACCTGCAGTAATAAACCACCATGGGGTTGCCCACTGTTCATGCTGTTCCCTGTGTTCATGAAGAGCTGTATCCTCAGGGACAGAAAGCAGTTATGTGATCAAAGTGCATTGCACACAATCGGTGCTTAAAAAGGACTCATCTGCATAAGTGAGGGGTTTTTTATGAAGATGCTGAACAGAGAGAGTTACCAAAACATGAGACGTTCTTCTGAAATTGTGTATTCTCCATAAAGCAGAAGAAAATCTTATCTTTTCTAGCAGAGGGAAAAAACCTATCAGATGGAGGATTCAAACATAAAAACAGTTGCAAATTTGGGAAAAAGTTGACTGCAACAGTGTTATGGATATTTTGAAGCATTTTTAGCCTTAGGATTATAAACAGTTTATTAAAAATGCATATATCATTTTGTTATAAACAGGTCAGCAGCATGCTAGAGGATAAAGCTGTGATTCAGAAACATTCCCTTCACGTATTTCCCTTTTCAAAGTAATGCCTCTCTGAGTGGCAATTTGTGGTTCTGGAGTCCAGATCCTATTTATAGAAACAATTCTAAGATCAAGCTGAAATAATCCAGTAGTCTGAGAAAATCAGTATGGATAGTCGACAGAGTAAACAAATGAAAGTCCAGGTTTTAATTAATTTAATTAACAGCTTGCACTACTGACTTTTCTAGCATAACTGCATTGGTAAGGAAGGCAATACCCTGATCCGACACAGTACCCATGTTGACAAGAATCTGTTGAACTGATGTGGTTGTATCAATAAAATATCTTTCCTTTCATTGATATTGATTCTCTTACTTGTGAACTTGGTTTTATTGTTTCAGGTTCACTGGTGTAGCTGTGCCCAAGCTCATAGCACTTTACTGTGATGGGAGACACTGTGCTCGTCTTTAAAGCACAAGACACAAGTACAGTGACAGCCTAGTAAAGCCACTCCGGCTCCATGTGTGCCTTGAGTAATCGTGCTCTCCCACAGATCAGCTTTAAAATCTCAAGAGAGCACAAGAAATGCAGTCCCTGCTTTCCATAGGTGAAGGATACTTCGGCATAATATCTGCAGTCATCTCACTGACTTTATGATGTCCTCTTACAGATCCTTCTTTTGACAGTAATTCTGATAACACTGGAGTGTAGCGTGTTCTATCGGTGTTGCCAGAGTGAGAGCTGTAACAAAACCTACAGAGTGAGTCTGTGTTTTATATCTGTGCATCTCCTTAGCATTTGTTTTGAGTGCCTTCCTGCTCCTGTGGTTCCAGCACATGCTTCTGCCCTCTCTACTGCTTCGTTTTCACTTCCTTTCAAAGAGAAGGATTCTAAATAGTGTTGCAAGGTCACAGAAAGTGTAGATTCTTCCTTCTCATGCATAAGCAGGATGCAAGAAAACTAGACACATACTCCCCCCAAATCCTTGTAAAATAAAATAAGAATGTAAAAGGCCCGAGTGTGTCAATAAAGCGCCCCAACTAAATATGCCTTTGCCTGTCTTATTTGGAAATTATTTTTTCCACGAATGACTCAATATATGCTATCCGGAATGCAGACTATTTGATACATGATTGGGTTTCCTGTTGTATTTTGGAAAAAATTTTTAAAAAATTGCAAGTTTAAAAAAGCTCACCCAAACAATACTGTAACTTGTTATGGAACTGTCTTAAACTCTGTCTTAATCTTTATTTTGTGTGTGTGTGTGTGCTTTTGCTATTCTATACCTGCTATTTTTCTTTTTGAATTTTGAATATTGAGAAAATCAAATGTGAATTTCAGCTAGGAAGTAGCTAGGCAGACTGAATGACTGTGTTTGCTATGGACACTGCCCCTCACAGTAATATTTCTCTCTCTTTACTCCAGAGTTTTATTTCAATTGTGCTAGCCCTGCTCGGAGTTGCTTTCTCGGGATACAGTTGCATCATTTTTACCCTGGGTTTGATTCAAGGCCCTTTCTGCAATTCATCAAGTGGATGGGATTATATTTTCAAAGACACTGCCGGGGGGTAAGAAACATCAGTGTAACTCTTCTGCAAGAAGTTGTTCATCAAGAAAATAGCCAGACACATTCTTCTTACTTCACACTAGTGTTTCTCTAACAGGTACCTCACAGATTACCCTGCCTGGTCTCGATGCACTGAACCTGCTAACATAGTCGAGTGGAATGTCATTTTACTGTCAATTCTCATAGCTCTCAGTGGACTGCAGCTGATCATCTGTTTTCTCAAAGTGGCTGCTGAGTTGAAGCGGACACTCTGTGGGACCTATTCTGTTTTTGTCCAGGTAACAAAACATCTGAGGTTAATTTCTTCAGCACCTCCAAGTCAGTTTAGCTACAGAAATAGTCCTAGTTGAGGACCTACCCTTTTGGTTTATGTATTCTCTGTGCTAGTGCATTTTTTTACCAGAGGATGTGTATTGATAATGCTTTTATTGTTTTTGATTAATCTGCTAATTCTTTGTGGTATACAGGGGTTGGTGGCTGCTCACTCTGACCTTTAAGGCTAGGACTGAGAAAAAAAAAAAAAAAGTGGCTGGGAATTCAGCACTGATGCCAAGTCCATTACTCCGATGTCAGCAGAGCACCTTTGCTGAGCACCTTTCTTCAAGCATTCAGTTTACAGACATTCTTACCATCATTGCTGTGGCTTTCACAGCAGTGATGAGATTTGCACTTCTTTTTTTATTTACAGGGTGGGATTCTCTGAAATTGGGAAGGAAATTGTCGCTGCTTCTCCCCCACCACCAGAAAAAGAGAGAGATGGCCTGTCCAATATCCATGGTGGTAGATTTGAGTGCTACAAAGACAAATGAAACCTTTCCCTTAAATCTTTGTCTCTCAAGCCTCTCTGTTTTGGATGAAGTTATTTGAAATGTTTGACATCTACATTTTATTTCACCTGTCCTGTTGTCCCTGGCAAGGATTCTTCATTTTTTTAACCTCCAAGTTGTTGTGACAATAGGGATGTTTGAATACCATGGAACTGCTTTTGTATTGAAATCACCTTTCTTTTTTTTTTTAATAAACTGCTGTAAACTGCTTTAATACTCCCCTCTCATTGCTTAGACTATATGGACGTTTGTGGTTCGGTAAGGACCTGGTTCAAAGCCCAGTATATCAGGCGGGGTTGTTAGTGCACTGCATGAAGCCATGATTTCCTAAATGACTGAGTTTTAGTTACAGACAGACCATGATGGCCATGGAGGGCAGAGCTTACCCTGCTCCTTCCATCTTGGACGCTCTTAACTGCAGAAACCAATTACTGAAAAAAATCTATAAAGTCTTCCTGCAGTAAGAAAGTTACCCAGTTCTGATTGGCAGATTAAATACACAGCTCTGAAGTCAGGTGTGCTATTGGCACATGTTAGTAGGTGCACAGGGTTTCTTTTCACTTTATACTCAGAGGGAAAGTGTTTTTCTTTTCTTTTAGTCAAGTACAGTGTGACTTGAGGGAGCATATGAGAAAAACTTGTGAGGACGCAGTACTTACTTATTAATGCTCTTCTAAGTGACCTGATGCCCTGACCTTGCTACAATGGAAAGCTAAAATTCTTGACAGAAATCATCAAATGAAAAAGAATAATCTGTGTTAAATTAGCAATTAAAAGGTACTTTTACTTTCACAGAGAATTACTGTTTCATTCCCAGTGAAAATTCAGGGATTCACAATGAAGTGGACATCTGGCTCATTTGCAGGTGCAGGGGCAAAATTTGCCTGTATTCAGCACTCTGATTTTGAGAGGACGAACACCCAGAGGAAAGAGAAATATGGACTTCAGACTTGCAGTAATGCACATGTCCCTATTACATCAAAACTAGTGGGATTCAGGTATATCAACATCTAATATTAAACACTCTTAGAAATGCAAACCATCCAAAAGTGTCAGCTTTGGGTAAGTTATTTAGGAAAAAATAGAATTTAATTCAGTTTAAAGACAATATTGAGATTTTGCCTTCATATTCCTTTATCAGATTGTTTTGAAAAGATGGTTTCTTCCTGTAGGATTTGATTTTATTTGCTTAGCTTCTATATTACGTTGCAAGAAGTAATAAAATAATTAATGATGTTTAAGAATGGGACTAGTCTTTTGGGAGATAGTTTGAGGTGGCATGGCTGGTCAGAGGTGCATGATAAAAAGACATGATTATAAAATGAGGACTGTCACTGCCTACTTGTTTTTCTTTAGGCTTAAATATGCAACATATTTATCTACTTAAATGCTAGTCCTACATTCTCATGGATTTGTGGATGCTGTTTATGGGAAGAAGGAAAAGAAAGAAAACTTAACAATCAATCCATACTCCTGCCAAACATCTTGGGGAATCTTGAGGATTTCACGCCTGCAAACTGTGGAACTGTCTTTGATTCATCCTTTTTTGTCTGATTGTGTCTGGTGAATTTTCATTTCCACTCTACCACAGGCATCTCCTATTTTAGGGGCTTGAATTAAAGAAAGAGATGTGTAGTTCAGTTCTTGGTAAATTTCCTGATCTTGCAACTCACTTTATTCATAATCCAGAATTTGGCATCTCCATTGCTGGGGTCACATTCAACTGTGACTTGACAGGTCAGCTTTTACATGCTCAGCCTATTAATTTGAAATTTGTCGTAAGAATACTAAAGGCTAACGGTTGTATTTCCAAATTTAACAGTCAGTTGCACGCAGGGCTTTTGGACGGAAGGCAAAGTTAAACTTGATCTAATCGGTGTAAGTCCTGCTTCAATCCTAAATATTTTATCTCTGACAAGAGGTGCTATGAACTGTGCCTGGTAGCAAAAATGAGATTTCTGTAAAGAATATTAATTAATTTTGACTTGAAATCTAGACATAACCATGTCTAGGCACCACCATGGTGGTGTTCGAGGCAGAGTGACCATCCAGCTGCAGAACACGGACCTCACCCAACAGCAGCAGGGCGAAGTGGGCGCTACAAGGCTCGCACCACACTGGAATATGAGAAACCCTTTTTTGCACAAGTGTTCCTGAACCTGAAGTGCGAGTGCTGCCTGCTGAAATCCAGAAGTAAAATGCCGTAGGCTGACCCAGAAGAAAGTTGAGTTTATAAACTCCTGCCAGGGAGGAGTTAATGCTGAATCTGACAGTAAGAGTTTCAGTATCATTTGTCTCCCACAGCCAGTGCATTTTGCCAGAGTATTAGGATGCTGTGTCTGGAGAAGTAACACCATTTGTTTGAAGACTGCAAGTAGACGTGGCTGTAGAGACTTGATTCTGACCACAAGTAGTTGTGGGCAGAGCTTTGTAGTAAAATACTGTGGAACCCCATCCACAACTTTGCATTTTGGGATATATTAATCCTTGTGTAGGTAAAAGTGACTCTTGCTGAAGTACTGTTTCCTGATTGCTAATTCTTCCTGGTTTGGATGGAGGAGTTTTCCTCATTGAGGAAGAATAGAGGAGGTGCCCCAGGTCTTTAAAGGGTATTTGACTGCAGAGATTTGCAGGTGACCAGAGCAGCAGCGTGGACAGCAGGAGATAGACACACATCATTCAGATCCAGGAATTTTTAAATGGTGGGGGTTCGATTTAATTTCACTGGGAGACTTCGTTGAGACCTTTTTGTCAGAATATTCCATTTTTGAGTTGGTTTGTTCTTTTTTCTTTCAAGGAAAATTTTTGAAGTAAAATATCAGCTTTATATTTTCAGTGCAATTTTGGTGATTTTCAGGATCTTCAATATGAGAAATGAGGTAAAGTGGTTTAAAACAATAATGGGATATTCATAACACCAAACTGCAGACTCATAATTTAACCAATTAAATCGGGTCTTTTTAGGTCCTGTCTATGAGAGGAGAGAGATTTCTTTTCTTCAGACACCCTCTGAAGAGAATACAGGGTTGGGAAGCTCAGGCACTTTGGTCCATTTTTTGAGTTCCTTGAGAATAAGATAATAGGAGTGTGTTTGGGCACACAGATATCTGAAAGTTTGGGGGAGGCACCATTAAAGGTGGGGATGGAAAAATGTTACCTTTCAGAAGTTTTTGCTATATCTTAAATAAGAACAACTTGTAGCTCTTTTGCAAATCAGGCAGGAGTAATTTAGAGGATTCAGAGGTCTGGGGAAAGAAATGCTCATATTTTTACCTTCAGATAAATGTGGAGATTTCAAGGGTATTGCTTGTTTGCTTTTCTGTCTTCCTCAATCCAATGGAAATCTGAACAAAAATAAACCAAATAGGCCACATATGCATGAACAACTTTGTTAGCTGAAAATTAAGTAATGACTTTGAATTTAAGTAGTGTAACATTTTCTCATTTTTACTTTAGTTAATTTACAGATGGATCACAAGCAACCTGGATAAGGTGATCTTTCCACTGCACCACTGACTGTCATCCATGGCAAAGAAAAAAAATTCCTACAGAAATCATTTTGAGCATGTGTCATCAACCCATGAAACTCTAGAATTTCATCATAGTTTTGGTCAGATTTCAAAATCTTGGCTTTGACCACACTAATTTAGACAGAAGCAAAGTCCTCCATTTAGTGCAGACATGTAGAAGGTTCCAAAAAGTGAAATTATGAAATTCAGTATTCTGACAGTGCCTGATTTTTTTTTTATATGAATGGTGATTAAAATTGGTAATTTATCTGTATACCACAGTCCTGGTAAATAAGGCTTAGATTTGTATGTCATGAAAGGAAAACTGCTGTACTTTAGTTATGTTCTGAATCTTAGTCTTCTATCCAAAATAATAATTTTTCTGACCAATATTAAAATAGCTTCAAAGAAGATTGTGGTTACTACAGGTATTTTTGAGTTGTCATACAATGCAAAATGTCATTTAGAATGACTGTGTCAGTGCTCAGAGCACAAACAAGATTTTTGAAGAATTCCCAAGTGACTGAAAAAACGTGGATTTTTTTAATAGAAGTTTACAGGTGGCTTTATATGTCTAAAGCTTCAGACACAACCATGTTGTAATGGATATATGCCGAGAAAAAGTGCCATTGCAAACTTCAGGTGGGTGGTTTTTAAACATTCCATATTAAAGTCCAATTTTGTTCTTATTTTTCAGTGAGACTAACAAAATGATTACAGAACTTGAATCAAGCAAAAGAAGCATTTGGCACTGAGTAGTGCAATTTGATAATGGTAACAGTTACGATTATCTGGATCTTACGATTTTAATTATTGAAGAATATGGCTTATCTTGTCTGCAACAGACTAGGAGGCAGATAACACAGGGAGGTAATGTTGTGAAATTTGTGAGCCTCATTTGAACACTACTAAAACTGCTTGAAAAGGGCATGCAGGCATTCCCCACCTCCCTCCCTGAATAGCTGGTTCTTTTCATCTCTAGCAACATGTGCCACACTTTGTGCTAAAATTACATTTCTGGGGGAAGTGTGGTGTGTAGTAGTGCTGACCCAGGCATGCCCTGCTTTGTACGCTGGTCTCAGTGACCCCAGTCCTCCCTTGTCTGTCAGTTTGGTGGTGACTGTGCAGATGGGAAGAGGCAGATCTGTGGAGCAGAACAAGCAAGGGGAATAGGCAGTTGCAGGGTTACCTTGGGCTCCCTGTGTCAATGCAGAGCAGTTACACGGGGGAAAGGTGTTACTTAGAGCTTCTCACAGTGTGCTTGAGAAGTTGTGTTCTTGTGGCATATTTCACAAGAACTATTTTCTCAGTAGTATCCAAGCTATAGAGATAGTCATGAAGATAGTGAAGAATGTAGTTAGGCTTAAGTCTGTAAATCCATTGAAATCTGCTTTCAATTCAGTGACAGGAGTTACAATCTGTGACGGTCTAAATGGTGATGTGCATGATCGCAGGCTGGCAGAAATAGAAAAAATTTCTTTGAAGATTATCTGGACTGACAAGGTTACCAGAATCTGTTGTTTGCTCTTGACACAGAGAGAGACATTGTGCAATTGGTTTTTATTGTGTTCACCAAAGCAAACAGCAGCAGGGAGGGGGAGGTAAGGAAGTGGGGAGTGGGAGACACAGTAGCATATAAAGGCAAATTGCACAGGCCTGTCCTGTGTTTTTATTTCACGTTTTTCACAAGGTTGAGGAATGCAAAATGAAGCTATTTCTCCTAAGCTGCTTGCTGTTTTCTTGCTGTTGGCAAGCTGGGGCAGTGAACCGTGAGTACTACTTGGGCATTACAGAGACTGACTGGAACTACGCACCCGGCAGTGCCAATGCTGTCTCTGGGCAGCTTTTTGCAGAAGAAGAGTAAGTAAAGCAGTTCACGCTGCTTGAGTTTGATTTTGTAGCATCGGCAGGTTTAGACACGGGGGCCACACTGAAAACCTGGTGAAGACAGTGAAATGAGTCTTGGTGTCAGTGGACTTTTTCATGGCTTGCTTGAGAACTTCATTCCAATGTTCTGCTAGTTAAAAGCATTGCAATATGTAGGGGGTGTGAATTTGTTGTAATGAAATATTTACTAAGAAGAGACTAGAAAAAGATCCCAAAAGTCTAATGTTTAATTTTGAATGTCTAAGATGCCAGTGCCAAAGAGATGACTTTTGCTGTTGTTTTTAAATGCAGAAGCTTGACAAATTTAAAACTTCCTTGCTGTGCACAGGTTTCCTTTTTAGCTGTTCATTTTTAGCAGGGGTGGTTCTCACTGGTGCAGCAGCACAGCTGGGTCCTTCCACCACAGTGGAGGAGCTGGGTAGCTTGTTACAAGGCAAGCAGGGTCCTGGGCAGACTGAGTGCAGTAAGTAGGCTGAGGATGAGTATCGTCAGGAGGAGGGGAGCACCCTGGAGGAAGGAATGATCAACAAAGAGAAGTCAGATATAAAAGGCATCAGAGAAGCATTTGAGAGAGAGAAAGTGTTCCTTCCTTCTATTTTTTCAGTGCATTTAAAATCAAATAGGACTATACCAAAATAAAAACAATGACGAGAGAAATCAGAAATTAGAAAGATCCAAAGCTGCGCTGCAATACAACGAACCACTGATGTTCACTGCTTTTCTCTGCTCTGTGATGACCTGCAGCTTGCTGCATTAATTCCAGGTTTTCAGTGGTTGTATGCCTGCAATGGAGCTGGTCCCTTTTTTTGTACTTCTCATTTTCAGGTTCTCCAGTTCTTCTTCTCCTGAGCCCTTTAACTATGAGGCTGTGTGCGTATGGAAATTGGTGATTATAGGGGCAGGGAAAAGCACAGTGCAGAAGAATACTC